TTCCGAGGTCCCTTCCAGCCCTAATGTCTATGAAATCATGCATTAGATCCAATTGTGACCTATTCTGCATGTGTAGGGGGGGCTATAAGACACAGTTCATGCAAACAGTTTTAGGCAGGTCTATCTGGCCACCTTCAGATAACAAAAGTAGCTATCGGTATTGTGGCATAGCTTTGTATTCCAGAAGGGCAAAATCGTCTATACCAGGGGTGGTAAACTCAAATTAATGGCAGGTCAGATTCAGCCCACGGGCTTCTCACTGGGTGGACAGTCCATCTCTTGATTCTGCCTGAGGGGCTTCTCAGCAATCTAGGTGCTGGCCACGCTGACACTGTGGCTCTGGCAGCCACGGTAATGGGGTTTCAGTTGGGAGCAGTGTGTTAGCTCCTTAGCAACCCTGATGAAAAGCCCCACAGGCTAGATGACCCACTCATGCAGGCTGCATCCAGCATGCGGACCTGATATTTGAAACCCATAGTTTATACAGAGAAGTAGAAGCCATTCAGTAACATTGAAAAAAAATACTGTGCATGTATGGTTGCAGTTACATTTCCTAATCCAGAAAATAATTCATTTCAAAACTAACTTTGTACGTTTGTTGTCTTGTCAGAAGGTTAGGTTTTCTAGATGTGATGTAGAAAATATTTTGCTTTGGTTTATGTGACCATATTTAACAAATAATTTAGTGGTATGTTAATATTAAAAAATCAGTTATTTATAATCCCAATAGTAATTTGTTGTTGTTTGCCATTAAAAAAAAAAAAAAAAAGGTCTGTTTCAGGCTTGACTACTACAGAGTTACTTTTTCTTATACCTGAAAGAAACAGCATTTTTATTTATTTTTCCCCAAAATTTGATTGCTTATTTTAAGGTAAGGCTTTGTCACACTGTCTAAACAACTTTTGTAAGACTGCATGTTTTTGAAGAATGATGTTTCTCCCAGTGCTTTGCAATAGAACTTCTAGCTACAGCTCAAAAGAATATTGTTTATACTTGAAATATTTTTTAGCAGAAGTAGCAACAAGGGAACAGCCAAGACCACTGATTACAAATGGTGTTTTATATATATATGTTTGCATATGTGTTCCCAATTTTTTCCCATTTTAGGTTGAGGCCACCAAATTATTTATGGACCTGACAGTAGTTATTTCTCGTGTTCTATTTTTTTTAGCCAGACTTGTATCTTTTTGAGCTCTGATGAAATACTGTGTATTTTTTTTTTGTTGTATCACAAGACATTGAAGACTGAGGTAACTTATTCTTTGTATCTCTGTTTCTATTTCTTTCCACTGATTTCTTATGTCATGTTCTACTTTTCCATTTCTTCAGGCCAGGCAAAAGATCTTTAGTATTGCAACTATCCAAAGGTCTCTGTTTATGACCTTTTTATTTTTGCCTTGCCTGATTTATCGCAGATTTCTAAATGTATCTGCTTTTGGAAATTGTGTTTTCCTGAATCTATCAAAATCTGAATGTTGCTACCTGTATGAATACATGTTTTTCCCAGTATTTGAAAAGATCTCTTTGAAAGTATCTTTTACTATGCTCTTATTCAGAAATACATATTGGTCACAGAGGAGATCAGAGAACATTTAATATCTTAGAGATTAGAATCTCTTAATTTTATGGCAGTGTTAATAGAATAATTTTATTGTAAATGAAAAGATTTTGATTTATTGAAGACTGCAGTTTTTGATGAGTGTATTTTTTTTGGGAAAAACAGACTCAAAGAGAAGCCCCAACTAGTACCTGAACCCTGTTGTACTGGGTGCTGTGCAAATACATAGTGACAGACAGGTTTTGCCTCTAAGAAGTTATAGGCTAAATGGAAAAGGCAGAGAATGGGGCCCAGAGTACAGGTGATAGAGACAAATTACCTTGTTCTGCTTGTAGCAGAGCTGGGGTTAGAACCTTGTTGTCCTGACTTACCAGCCTAGTGCTTTGGACCAGATTTCCATAGATATTGTGATATACAGCTCAGACATGTCTCTGTTCGGTCTGATCAGTATCTAATTACGCAACTGTAAAGCAGTTAAATTCTAAGCGTTAATGATGATGTTTCTTCCTTTAAGGTTGCGCTTCTCTTTGTTGGGCAAGTGGTAGACTGTCTGCACTTCAGAGCACACAGAGAAATGCACCTACGACCTCTCTTATGTATAACATCATGAAGTTAGCTTCCCAAACAGCAGCTGAGAACAGCATAATTCAGCAAACAGTCTTTTCTCTTCTTTCCAACCTTGCTGTGTCTCATGACTGCAAAGGTGTGATTCAAAAGGTAAGCAGGTGTTGCATATTTGCTTCTGTATTTTCAAATGCCCTGAAAGCTGGTAGATGCCTGAAGAGAAACTATGAAAGTCATGTGTCTGGCTGTTCAGAGTGTCCGAGTTCAACAAAAAAACTTGTATATCTGCATGTCTCAATGAATCAAATGTAGCTATTGATGTGCATATAATTGGGTTCAATGTGATGCGACTGAGCAGGGGAAGGATGGTGAAGTGGCAAGCATAACATCGTTATGTTCCTTGATTATTCTCACAAGCATCAAATTCAGGAATTCTCAATTCACTGCAAAGTACAAATAGCCCTTGTTATATTGTCTCCTGGGCCTTCCTCTTCCCCTAATTTACATTTACATCATATTCCTGAGGCAAGTGGTAGAACATAGTCATGTGTTCATATAACAATACTTGTTCTGTCCTATTTGAAAATCAGTAATTCCACAGCTTGCTTATCTCTCCTGCTCTTTTCTGTTCTTCTTTTCCCCCATTCCTTTGCCACACATCTCTGATTAGTTGCCTTTTCCTTCCCCTTCTTTGCATGTGTCCCTATCAAACATCTTTCTCTTTGGATGTTTCTCTTTCTTGTGGCAAATAGCTTCCATCTTGTTTCCTCCTCTTGTATAACCCTGGTATTCTTTGTTGCTAGTTTTTCCTAGTTTCCAGTAACTTTTGCTGCATCAGAGCCTTGAGGGCTATAAAAGCAGGTGGAAACGAGAAGGCTGAAGTATATTACCGCACTCTGCTCATAAGAGCTCTTCACTTTCAGGAAGATGTTTGGTTACTACTTGTTTGTTTAAGCTGAAGGGATCTTAATTTAAAGCGAACAATAGCTACACAGTGAAATACAATACAGTTGGACAGACTCTTCAGATCTTGTTACTTTTACTCTCTAGGTACATTCAGGATAATATTTAGTTTGACCATACCAGGGATAGGCTCAATAGAACAGTTATGCAGAGGACTTAAATTGCCCCCCCAAAAAACAAACAAACAAACAAAAGAGTCGGTGCACTAACTTAGTTTGAGATCAGATTAACCCAATCTAAGAAAGGGTTAACTCGAGTTCATAAATGTCTATAAGGATTTGCAGTGCAGCCCAACAGCTTGCCCCAACCCCTGAGTTGCACTATTCCCATCCTGCCCTGACCCTGATTGAGCTATTTTTAGCCCTCCCTGTCCCCTGAAACCCTCTATTCTTCCCACCCATTCCCCCAACCCTGAGTTACTTCACTAGCTCTAGACTTTCCCCTAAAGTCAAAGCAGACTATTTTGGTGCAAAGGTCAGTAATGTGGTCTGGGTTCAAACACCTCAAAGAATCTCTGGGCTCCAGTCTCAGAGGATTTCACAGAAACTGCACTTATGCAGTAAGAAGAGAACTGAGGAATGATTATTCCAGTAATCATCAAAGCTTTTCAGACCCTTTTATTCTCAAGTATTAAAATAGCTGATGCATGCTGCGTGAAACTGCTTTGACCTCGTCTATCTAACTACTAGCAGAAATTCCATGCCTTTCACATCATGGCATATTGAACAATATGGGTATGTAGTATACATAGTTGTTTGAGTATAACTTCCCTCTAAATTGTAAGTGAAAGATATTACCATTGAATATTGCCTGTTCTGTTGCAACACTCAAATGTTTACTATAATGTCAGCTCAAATAGAAGTGATAAATGTTAGTTCAGTAATTAGATATTAATCATTTAACTAATTATACTTTCTGCAGCACTCAATGTTAAGCCTTTTATACTATATTATTTTATGATACAATATGTCACTCTGTTTTGTACTGCAGTAATATTACTATATCAAAAATACATATAACAGTGATTCTCAATGTGGGTGCCTTGATATCCTTTCAAGGGAGCCACAGGTTGCCATGTAGTGTTAGCATTGTTAGGTGTGCAAACTTGATTCAGAAAATGCAGCAAGGGATTTCAAATACACTTCTGAGTTGTTTGCAACAGAAGAGTTGTTCTGTTATTTTTCTGAAGTCAAAAGGTGAGTGAAAACTGAGAACTGGCATTTTTTAAAGGTACCTTGAATCTAAAAACATTGAGGATCACTGATATATCTCCTTAAAGTGAAATACTTCATTGATTGAATTTGTTTTGTTTCTTGTATTGCTGTAGAAACAAAACTCAATCAGCTAAAACATGAAAAGGTGGATATTTTACTTTATATGAGCATGACTTGTGTTAGACTAATTGGTATTATGTTATCTTGTTAACATACAGAGTGATAAATGAAAATAGTTCTGTATTTCACTTTTTGTACAACCTTTTGACCAAACTTCATGTTTTTTACTACCTTATCCCCTGAGATACTTAGTTAATAACTTTTTAAAAATATAGTGTAAATTATAGTATTGATGGCTTTGAATCTACAGACTGAGAAGCAATAAACTGAGTATTGGTATTAAGACTGTAATTTGGGAAGTCTGCAAGGGGACACCAATAGGCATTGCTACAACAGAAGCACTTGTTACCTGCTTTAGTTTCTGTAACAAAATATTGCTGAAAAATTATTTATATTTTCTAATGTGTGCATAATAGGCAAACTCATAATGAAACAATAGATAAGGAAGACCATTTACCTGGGAAATACAAGAGGTTTGAAAGAAAAGTTATTGTGATGACTTAATGTGTATTTTCTCTTTTCTAACAGAGTAACTTCTTACAGAACTTTCTGTCTTTGTCATTGCCAAAAGGAGTAAATAAAAACTTCAGTACTCTGGCCAGCCTTTGGCTAAAGCTTCTATTGAACATTTCCTTTGGAGAAGATGGACAGCAGATGATCATGAAGTTAAATGGTAGTTTAGACCAAATTGTTGAAATGAGCAAATATAAGCATAAGAGTCACCACTTAGCACTTCTTATTCTGCACAATATGTGCTTTAGTCCAGCTAACAAACCCAAGATATTGGGTAATGGTAAGTACCCAAAGGTTATTCTATCTAAGCTTTTGTCCATATATTGCAATACTGTGTTTTCATTGAGAAGTGGGGGATACTTACTGAAAAAGTATTGTTTCTAAAAGATTTTTTATTAAATTAATAATTGGCTATTCTAATACATTTTAGAAAAATTTAAACCTATAAAATACTGGAAGAAGTATATTAAAAAAAATAAGACTATCAAATACATACCAGACACTGTTATGATTATGATTATGATTTACAATTTCAATTTAGATTTATATCCTGTTTTACCCAGAAAGGCTCAAGATGGCTTTACAATAATCTTATCATTAATTTTTAGATTAAGTATTTTGAAATTATATTGTAGTATGAATGTAACATTTTTAGCAATCAATTATGAATGAGTGACCATGCCTTTCGGAAGAGAAAATAGAAAGAATCCCTAAATATATAGGACACCAGTTTTAAAATCTAATTTAGGAAGACAATAAAAAAGGAAACTTATGAATTAGTTATAGATGCTATTTTTCAATTGCACAACTTCTCACTAGGAGAGGGTGGTGAAGCAGTAGAACAGTTTACCCAGAGAGGTGGTGGAATCTCCATCTTTGGAGGCTATCTGGAGCATGCTAATTGACACGCTCCAGCAGACGCAATTAATCAAGCACTGTAATTACAGCATGTCAGAGCAGCCTTCCCGCACATATACAGGCACCATACATGTTCTCATGGTTTTTTTCTTGGATCGTTATTCAGATTCAGCATTCTGGATAAACAGTCATTATTCAACTCTGGCCTAGTGATTCTCAACAAGGATACCACCACATGCTAGGATGCTGTGAGATCTTTTCAAGGGTGTCGCAAAGTGCAGTATTAGCACTGTTAGCTGAGTAAACACCTACACATGATTCACAATATAAACCCAGAAATTTCAAATAGGAATACATAATATCAAATCATTCTGAGCTAGTGTAGTCTTTCTCAGTCCTTCGCAACAAAAAAAATGCTTTATTATTTTTCTCTACTCAGAAAGTGAGTGAAAGCTAAGAGCTGGCATTTTCCAACAGGTGCCTTGAGTCTATTGAGGTTGAGAACCACTGGTCTAGCCATTGAATTTATATTGTGGAGCAAGCTATCAAGTGTGTTGCATAAACAGACCAGGCAATTCAGAGTCCCCTGATAATCTAGAGATAAACCATGGAGACCAGAGAGGACACCATAAAGAAGTAGCAAAATGGACAGAATGACTTAGTTTTCATCCCTTTTTGCTTGTTGCATTGATTCTGTATAGGTGCCTATTGGGTGTTCTTAAAATGATTTAATGGAAATGAGTTATTCAAGCTTATGTATGTCACTGTAGTTGTAATTTAAAATGTTTGTGCTTTTCAGACTTTGCTATTTAATTTTAATTGGAAGGAAGCTAATCTAAAGTAAAAATATTTTCTTAAAATTATTTTACAGTGCTAAAATGTCCAGTAGGTGCTTGCTCAAATTTGACCTGTTCTGATGGCACAATAGGAACAAAGTTTATACAATTACAATGTTGAAATATATAGAAATATAGGCAAATTTTCAGTGCAAGAATATTTCAAAGACCAAAATCCATTTTAATGTACTGTGTTGGGCTTTTATTTTCCTCATTAGATAAAGCTATTGCAGTGCTGTCTTCCTGTTTGGAAAGTGACAGTCTCACTGTTCAGAGAATTGGAGCATCTGCACTTTGGGCTTTGCTTCACAATTATCAGAAGGTTAGTATTTGGCAAACACTTGCTAGTTAAGAAAAATCTCAGAACTTGAACATTTTCTGTAATGAAGGAGATGTCTTTAGCATGCTTTTGCATTAATGTTGATCCTCTACGTATTTGTTATTGTGTAACACAAATCCTCTCAGAGTTATAAAATTATGTATCAATCCTGACTTTTGCTTGACCTTGGCAGATACCAACACCTATGTAAAACCCTGAAACTTCACACAAATGCAAGGACCCAGTCACACAAAATAAGTTGTAAGATTTGGGCCTAGGATTGGCAAAGCAAATTATTTGCCACATAAACCCTTTGTATCTTAAGAGAATGCTCTTTTTAGGGTCTACCCCAAGGGTTTTCCTCAACTAGTTTAAGACGGGTATCAGACATACAGCCCATGAGCTGCGTCTAGCCTGCAGAGCCACTGTATCCAACCCACTGAGCTACCAGTGGGCCACTGAAATTTGAGGGGGCATGGCAGGAAAGAGTGGCCTGCCCTTCTGAGGAATCCAGGGCACTTGTATAGGAGGATGAGCAAGGGCTGATATAGTTCCAGTCACCTTCCAGTCACTTCTTCTGTTACCACTAAAAGAGGCCCAGCTCTTTGGGCTCCCCTTGCCACCACTGTGCTGCATGCCCCATGCTGGAGCCAGAGCCATTGCCACCATGTACGACGTGTGTCTCCTATATGCCATTGCCACAACAAACATGTGGCAGCAGCAGAAGGTTCAGCTTTGGCATAGGGCACACTGCATGTGGTGGGAGCCAGAGCTGCTGCCACCACTGAGCTTCCCTGTGCCCCAGACTAGACATCCCTGGCCCTAAGCCATACAAGCCCCCAGCCCTATCCATATTACCTTGAGCCAGCTATACACAAAGGGCTTCTTTCTTAAAGGGCCTCTTTTAAAAGATCTGTTCTCAAGAAACAGACAGCAGAGCTCCTCTAGAAATCATTCTGCTAACTACCTGTTTCTCATTCTGTTAATGGCTTTATGTACAGGCCATAGACATGGGAAGTGGGGCATAAAAGGGCTGGACGCTAAGTACAGGGACTTGTAGGTTTGCTTCTGCTGGACTACTTATGTTTGTGACCTGCATGATCTAGGTGAGTTCTGAACACACTAAAGAGTGGCAGGCTAAGGGGAAGCTTGAACTTGGGCTCCGATGCACAGCAGAGCTTCTAGAGTTAAGTTGGACCATTGCCCTTAGGAGATAGCAAAGAAATTTCTAATGTTGGTGATCACTAGGTTGGAATACAAGGTGGACAGAAGTAGAAGGGTAGATGTACCCAAAGACTGAAAGCAACGTTTAGAAGTGAAGTCCATAATGCTTCATTTCATTGGTATCTGTTAATTTTTCCCAGTGTGTATGATGGTACAATCTTATGTTATGCTCTGAAGTTCTAGAATGCCATATTTTGTTGCCTAGCTGCCAAGAAATTAGCTGCAGGCTGAAAGGGTAGTTTCACTGCATGTCAGTTTTTTGGAAGAAGATTAATGGATTATTCTTTTTGTGCTACAGGCAAAAGTGACTTTGAAGAATCCTTCAATAAAGAGAAGAATAGATGAGGCTTATTCTTTAGTGAAGAAAAGTAAGTTATTGTAGAAGTTGGCTTCCATCTCAAAAAATTAACTAGATTTTGTAATTTTTCTGTCAAGATAGAACAATACACTATATTGTACAACAACAAAAAACCCATTTTGCTCTATTGTAAGGTTTTCTAAAACTTCAGGGTTTATATGAAGATCCTTTTAAATTCACAGATAAACGTCTCCTTAAAAAAAAAAAGAAAAAAAAATTCTTGTGACAATTTTTAAATAAGAATGTGATGTGGTAATTGTAAAGATTAGTCTGACCAATACATTTAATTGTGCTTACAGCAAAATAATGTTCTGCACCACATGCTACCTCTGAATTAAGCTTTGTACAAGAAACACTGCCTGGTTAAGACTGACGTCACTTAACACTGCTCAGCTGATTTAAATTCAACTACACAGAGATGAATTCAGGACTGTTTGTTGCTCTATTCTGTCTGTATTGCTATCTAAGTTGGCTGGTTTTTACTTTGACCTTGGATAGGGTTTTGGAAAACTTGTTGAAAACATCTGCAAGTAGCTGTAATTTGGACAGCTTTTATACTAAGATTAGCTGTCCGTGCTGGCAGAAAATTAAAAGCATCTGTTTGGGGACTTTTCCATGAACAGGACATCGGAGTAGGGCTGCAGCTCCATTAAGCTTGTCAGTTTGTCATTTACTTTAGAACCCTGTTTCTACCAAGACGTCTGCAAATGCTTAATCTTAAACACGTGAGCATTTTAAGTATGTGTAGGACTGGGGACAAGCTTCCATACCTTTTCAAGAAGGAGTGGCCAAGAACTTACTGTTAAATCGAGAGAGTTTTGGTTTTGTCTTGGTGATGGTTAACGTCAGGAAAGTTATTTTTGCCACTGTATCTGATGCGGTTTCATTTTGTGGATTTGATTATCTTGGCACTCATCTCTGTTGTGATAGTTTTGTACTGTTACAGCCTCTTTAAAAAAAAAAAAAAAAAAAAAAAAAAGAAAAATTGAAGAATGTGGGCAGGGAACTTCTTGTTTTCCTGTCATGATTCTCCTAGCATAGAACAGTTTGTATAT